TGAAAGTCATTTGTGTTTCTGTACACTAACAATGAAAATCTGAAAAGGGAATTAAGAAAAAATCCCATTTACAATAGCATCAAAATAATGAAATACTTAGGAATTAACTTGGAGGACATGAAAGACCTACAGAATGAAAATGACAAGACATTGCTAAGAAGAATTAACAAATGGAAACGCACCCCATGGCTATGTATTGGAACACAGTATTGTTAAGATGTCAACACTACCCAACTTAATCTGTAGATTACATGCAATCCCTGTCAAAGTCCCAATGATTTGTTTTTCAGAAATAAATCTCATCCTAAAATTCATACAGAATTTCTCAAGTGACCTCAGATAGCCCCAACAATCTTGAAGAGCAAAGCTGGAGGACTCATACTTCTGGTTTCAAAACTACAAATCTATAATAATCAAAACAGAGCAGTATTGACATAAAGAAAGACCTACAGACTAAAGGAATAGAATAGAGAGCCCTGCCAAACACCCACACATACTTGGTCAAGTGATTTTTTTGACAAGGGAGCCAAGACCATGCAATGGGGAAAGGGTGGTCTTTTCACAAATGGTATTGGGAAAACTGATTTTCCATGTGCAAAAAAAATGAACCTGAGATCTGAATGTGAGGCTTAAGACCGTCAAACTCTGAAGAAAACAAGAGTGGCCGAGCGCAGTGCCTCACTCCTGTAATCCCAGCACTTTGGGGGCCGAGGCAGGTGGATTACTTGAGGTCAGGAGTTTGAGACCAGCCTGGCCAACGTGCTTGAAGCCAAAGGAAGAAATCAAGATCTCAGTAAAGGTAAATATGTGGGCACCTATAAAAGCTAGTATTGTAAGAGGTGAGTATTGTCAAGCTAGTACTGTAAAAGCTAGGTGAAACTCCGTCTCTACTACAAATACAAAAAACTAGCCCAGTGAGATGGCGCGCACCTGTAATCCCAGCTACTCGGGAGGCTGAGGCAGGAGAATCGCTTGAATCCGGGAGGCAGAGGTTGCAGTGAGTTGAGATCGTGCCACTGCACTCCAGCCTGGGTGACAGAGCGAGACTCTGCCTCAAAAAACAAAAGAAGAAAACAGAGCAGAAGCTTCATGGCATTGGATTTGGCAGTGATTTTTTTGGATATGACACCAAAGGCACAGGGAAAAATAGACAATGTGGACTTTATGAAAATAGAAACCCTTCTTGCATCAGAAGACAGTGTCAACATAGAAAGACAATGCACAGAATGGGAGAAAATGTGCACAGCCCCTGTATCTGGTAGGTAATTAATATCCAGGATATATAGAGAACTCTTAAAACTCAACAACCAACCAAACTGATTTAAAAACAGGCAAGGCAAGGGGCCGGGCGCGGTAGCTCAAGCCTGTAATCCCAGCACTTTGGGAGGCCGAGACGGGCAGATCACGAGTTCAGGAGATCAAGACCATCCTGGCTAACACGGTGAAACCCCGTCTCTACTAAAATACAAAAAAAAATTAGCCGGGCGAGGTGGCGGGCGCCTGTACTCCCAGCTACTCGAGAGGCTGAGGCAGGAGAATGGCGTGAACCCGGGAGGCGGGGCTTGCAGTGAGCTGAGATCCGGCCATTGCACTCCAGCCTGGGCAACAGAGCTAGACTCCGTCTCAAAAAAAAAAAAAATAAATAAAATAAAAAATAAAAATAAAAACAGGCAAGGGCTTGAATAGGCATTTCTCCAAAGAAAAGTCTATGAATGGCTTGTAAGAACATGAAAGGGGCTCAATGTCACTATCATGAAGGCAACATAGATTAACCTATAAAATAGAAAATAAACATTGGCGAGGATGTGGAGAAGGCAGAGAGCCCTGTTACACTGTTGGTGGGGGTGTAAAGAGCCACAGCCACTATGGAAAACCAAATGTCTGTTCTTCACAGAATTAAAAACAGAATTACCCTATGCCCGGCAATTCCGCTTAGGGTATATACCCAGAGACATTTGTACACCCACGTCTACACGTACCACTATTTAGGATAGCTGAACAGCAGAGGCACCCGAAGTGTCCATCCATGGATGAGTGGACAAGCAAAGTGTGGTTTGTACAGACAGCGAAATCAAATCTTTGGAAGGAAATCCTGTCATGCTACAACATGGATGCCCCTTGAGGACGTTATACTATGTGAAATATGCCAGTCATAAAATACTTATATGAGGTACTTAGAGTCTTTGAATCATAGAGACAGGAAGTTGAACGGTTGCCAGGAGCTGAGGGAGGGGGTGGGGAATAAGTGTTGAATGGGACCAACCTTCTCTTTGGAAGGATGGAGAGGCCTGGAGGTGGATGGCAGTGATGGCTGCAGGACCCTGTGAATGTGCCCAACACCACCAACCTGCATTAAAAGTGGTTAAGATGGTAAATTTTATGTGTATTTTGCCACAAAAAAAATTGGAAAGACATAGAAGGTATGAAGGAGAGCTAAGTGTTTTGAGTTGGCTAAATCACTGAAAATTCCAATAAAAGACTAGTTTTAGAAGAGTCATTTTTTCCTAATCTTGAATTACATTAAGCATCTCAAGGGTTGTGGAACTTAATAAAACAGCGGGCAGTCGTGCCTCAGAGCGCTCCGTCTGGGTGCATGTGCAGCCAGCACCTGCTGGTGCACCGTGGCTTCCCGTGGCGAGCTTCCTGTGCCTGTGGTTCCCTCCAAGCCTTGGGGCTGAAACTAGGACTGGTGATTCTGAAGGGTGGGGCGGGAGCAGCCCCCGGCTTCATCAGGAAGGGGCTCTGATCGGGCACAGGGGTGCCCTGTGGGTGGGATTGCTGGAGCCCAGGAGTTCAAGGCCAGCCTGGGCAGCATAGAGAGACCCTGCCTCTAAAGAAAGAAGGGGGCTTTGGTGTCCATGGAGAGTCTGGGGAGGGAGGTGGAGGCTAGGGTTCTGTGAGGGCCTGGAGATGGGGGCTCTGGTTGGCCCTGGGACACGTGGCAGGCGTGTTGGGTTCCAGCTGGGTGGACTTTGACAGTCGGGTGGGATGAACTCTCATGGCCCCACCGTCACTTTGAGGTGGTGTCACCTCTGACCTTCAGCATGGCATGACCTTACTGAGGTGACCCAGGTGTCCCACATATTAGCCTGAGTGTTGGTATTGGGAAAACTGATTTTCCATGTGCCAAAAAATGAACCTGAGATCTGAATGTGAGGCTTAAGACCGTCGAGGGCTGCGTTCATTGGAATATTCTGGTGTCACCGCCCACTTCGTTTCTGTGCCTGGCAGCGCTGTTTTACTCCTGGTTGGGAGCATGACCGCCTCCCGGTTCAGCTTCCTCCCGTGTCCCCAGTGAGCGGGGCGGCTGTCCTCGAGGACCCCGGGCTCGCAGACAACCTTGCTGGCACGGCCGCCCTTTCCCGCACTGCCTCGGGTCAGTCAAGGACTTGTCTTCTGCCTTCCGGGTTCCTGAAAGAGCGCTCCACTGACTTCTCAAAGGCAAAATTAAAACTCAGATTAAGTCTTTGGCGCGTAGCCCCTAATTTCCTTCCCTCTCTGTGAATCTTCACTGCCCAGCATAATGGAGCGTCCTGGGCTCAGGACCTGATTCCACAAGCTCCCACGCCTCCTGCAGGTACCTCGTCTTCCGCACTGGTGTTGCGCCACCGGCCACCGCCGCCCTGCGCCTCAGTCGTCCCGCCCTCCGCCTCAGACGTCCCGCCCTGCGCCTCAGTCGTCCCGCCCTCCGCCTCAGACGTCCCGCCCTCCGCCTCAGACGTCCCGCCCTCCGCCTCAGACGTCCCCCCATCCGCCTCAGACGTCCCGCCCTGCGCCTCAGACGTCCCGCCCTGCGCCTCAGACGTCCCGCCCTGCGCCTCAGTCGTCCCGCCCTCCGCCTCAGACGTCCCGCCCTCCGCCTCAGACGTCCCGCCCTCTGCCTCAGACGTCCAGCCACAGCTGTGCTTCCACCTTGTCTCCAGCTTGAGTGGCAGCCAGCAGCGTCAGCTGCACACAAGCCCCTCCCTCCAAGAAGCACAGACTGTGAGTGTGGCCACGTGTCCCATGAGGTAAACTCACGTCTGTGCCGAGACCTTTGCCAGCAGTTTTTACCGATGGAGTAAGCAGTGGAGATGCTGGGTACAGCGACTTCCGTCCGTAAATTGATTTCGTTAACCTTACAACGTATCTGCAAGGTTTGTAATCTTTCTTCAGACACCGTTTTTCGTGGATTTTGTATCTACTGGGGGTCGATAGATTTCCATGTGTCAGTCGCTGTGCTTGGGGCCCTTTGGGCACTAACAGCCACGCTACTGAGCGTGTGGAACTGGGACCCAGGCCACACATCGCCGTCTGGGTGAGCAGCCCGTGGCCTTCAGTGGTGGAACTTGGACCCAGGGTGCACACCGCCGTCTGGGTGAGAAGCCCGTGGCCTTCAGTGGTGGAACTGGGACCCAGGCCGCACACCATCGTCTGGGTGAGAAGCCCGTGGCCTTCGGTGGTGGAACTGGGACCCAGGCCACACATCGCCATCTGGGTGAGCAGCCCGTGGCCTTCAGTGGTGGAACTGGGACCCAGGCCGCACACCATCGTCTGGGTGAGAAGCCCGTGGCCTTCAGTGGTGGAACTGGGACCCAGGCCGCACACCATCGTCTGGGTGAGAAGCCCGTGGCCTTCGGTGGTGGAACTGGGGCCCAGGCCGCACAACACCACTTGGGTGAGCACCCGTGGCCTTCAGTGGTGAAACTAGGTCCCAGGCCTCACACCGCCGTCTGGGTGAGCAGCCCGTGGCCTTCAGCAAGAGCAGGTTTGCTTGTTTGGGAGAATGTTCTCATTTCAGTTTTCTGAAAGGGTTAGAGTTGCTAACTGGAAGAGAGACTTGTTCTTGGTGAACGAGAAGTGTGTTTGTAACTAATTGGGTTTTAAACTCCATCAGGTTGCCAACACCCTCACTCCCCACTGTTTGCCTCCCGGAGCTGTGAGCATCCTTAGGTGACAAACCCACACCAACATGGTTTTTGTAATTTCCCTGACTCGCAATTGAGACTTTTAGAATGAGATTTTTAAGGAAGTGTTTGGTTTAATTTTTCTCCCATATCAGGAAACACATGATTTTTTTTTTTTACATACAATAAGAGTAACTTTAATGTATTTTATGTTTACAACATAGGAATTGCAATTTTAAAAGAATTCAGAATGTCATTAGTGTAAGCCGTGTTTCATATCAGTGCATTAATAGTTATATTAATGTGGGCAGTTCATATTGAAGTGTAGAAAAATAAATTATAATAAGAAAGTGATGTCTACACAGGAGAAGACGAATTGTTTTTACAACCTGGTAAATTAGAGTTGCTGCCTTGGCGTTCCCATGTTAGCTGGACATTCTTATAGCAGCAAATTCCATTTAAAAACTAAGAATTCAAGAAGGAAGAACTGATACTCGCGAGCAGGCCCTTCACTGTGGGCACTTCTCTGGAGTTCCCACACTGACAACACCGTTGCTGCTCTAAACCACTTTGGGTATGATTTGGCAGGGAGCTGAGGGGCAAGGGAAGCCCAACCATGAGGGCGTCCATGAGCGACACCGCAGGCTGTGCCCAGGACCCCTGCGCAAACCGTTTCACTTCTCAATCTTGAGTTTGAACTCCACTTTCCCTTCATACGGGTCGTGAGGATTGTCGAAGGTCACGTGCTCTGCCATGACCTTGCACACAATGGCGACCTCAGCGTTCCAGGGGACATTGAGGAGCTTCGCGGCCACCAGAGGGTTGCTGTAGTGAGGCTGAAGTGGGAGTGAGGAAAGGACAGGTGTTTCAAAAATCTCTGAAGTTAAGGAGAGAAAACTAAGCAAGGGAAGTGTCAACAGTCAGGTTGGTGCAGAGGAGCAGCTCGTTTGTGTAAGACTGGTCGTGACCGAATGCATGCCCTGGAATTTGCTGAGATAACATCCCCTCATGTAAGAATGGAGAGCAACGGTCTTTAGGGGACAGACAATACCAGGAGTAAATTCAGCTACAAACTCTTATGATGATGAACATAAAAATGAAACAGGAAAAGCACGTGACGTGGAGGAAAGTCTCTGAAGTGGATATGCAGTTGTTTTAGAGGATCTGGGAAGTAGAAAAATTAGGCTGGGCGCAGTGGCTCATGCCTGTAATCCTAGCACTTTGGGAGGCTGAGGCAGGCTGAGTGCTTCAGCCCAGGAGTTCAAGACCACCCTGGGCAACATACTGAGACCCTTTTCTCTACAAAAAATACAAAAATTAGCTGGGCATGGTGTTGTGTGCCTGTGGTCCCAGCTACTCCAGAGGCTGAGGCGGGAGGATCACTTGAGCCCAGGAGGTTGAGGCTGTAGTGAGCTAAGATTGCACCGCTGCAATCCACCCTGGATGACAGAGCAAGATTCTGTCTCCAAAAAAAAAAAAAAAAAAAAAAAAAGGTAGAACATTTAGAGTTGTATTTTCATGTTGCATGAAAGGAATGTTTCCAAGTAGATACAAGAACCTGGGCTTGGGAAACACGCAGACTGTTCACTTTTGTTTCATTTTTATACATGAAGGTGCTTATTGCTTTCCTTTGGCCAAGTGTGAGAGGACTCAATAGCTGTGGTGAGGGAAGCGTGAAAGGAAGGAACCTACCTGGGCTTTTTTCCCGTAATAAGGGAAGTAGTGCAGACTGAAGGTGCCGTTGGGAGGGTAGTACTCGACCTGCAGCGGCTGGCCGAACTCGCGGGGCTGGTCCTGGGGAGGAGAGGCCACTGTCTGAGTCTGGTGGGAGCTGGTGTGTGCCCACGTCTGTGTGTTGCATTTGTGTGCATGTGTGCACATGTGCACTGTGTAGGTGCTTGCATAAACGCTTTATTGCATAATTAGCATAAATCAGATGCAATCTTTATACTCAGTGTTGAGATCTCAGCAAGGATATGATTTGTTAGCATGCAAAATGCCCAGTGACCCCTCAATGTGTGCTTCTAACAACTTGAAGTGTTGGAAGGATGATGTAGGTGGGTGAAGCTGGGAGTCTGCTTGCTTGTCCACACTCGAGGATGGCCACTGTTCAGTGGCATGTGCTGCTTTGCCACAACTGGGTTACAAGTTGGTGTGAGAGGGACAAGTGAACACATGTTTTTGTGAGATTGGGGCCCTCTCATTTCAGAAGCAGAGACTTGCTCAGTGGGTAGCTCAGGGTCATCAACAAACAGCTGAAGGGTGCTTTGGATCTGTTAGAATCTCAGGAGCCACGGTGTGGCCCAAATAAATTGAAAAAGGAAAAGCAAACCCCCGTAGCCCACACGGAAAGTGGAGGCTTCGAGGGAAGTGAGGTTCCCTCAGACACCCGAGTGGGAAGGCTCCACGCAGTAATGGAACCATGCTGTGAAACCTTTGCCTTTGGGTGTAATGGTGGAAGCAAACCTTAGAAAACATTTAATTTAAAAAATTTAGTTTTAAAAAATGTTGACTTAAAAAGCGGAATTAGCCTGAGATCAATGCCAACTCTTAGCAGTCTGTATACTAAACACAAACAACTGTAGCTGCTGGCAAGCTGGAATATTTTTGTAAAGAAGCACATAAAAAGAACAGAACTGGTAGATGTACATTGGTCTTTCCACATGGCCACCAAGCATTTTGAAACGTGCTGGTGATATGCTACTCAGATGCGTTTGGAAGCAAAATGATGAGAAAACAGCATCGTGTTTCCCTTGCTGGGTTTTTAACCCCCATGGTGGAACTCGCTGTGCTGATGGTTCGGTGGTGTTTACATCTGGCTTACGGGGCCGAGGCCTACATTCCTGGAGAGAACCAGGCCGGCCATGCCTAGCGTGAACCAGCACGACCCTGACAAGCTCCTTTCCTGGGGCAGCCCTGACCACCGTGCGGCCATACTCACCAGGAAGGCGCAGTCCACTCTGGGGGCCGAGCCGTTGCTGGGGAGGAACTTGACAATCTAGAAGGGAAAAGCTTGAGTGTGTCTGCTCCCCACCCCCACCACCATGTGAGGTGCAGCGGCACCCACCCGTGGAGCTGGGACCTGGCCAGCCCCAGCCTGGGCTTTCTGACCAGGACTGAGAAGGACCCTTGGTCTGGTTTGCGGCTTCCCTTGGAGGAATCCCCATAGGTGTCACTAACTCATCACTTGGAGCCACAGCCCTCCCCCAACCCACCCATTAGCAGGCCGCTTGGCCCAGGCTTCAGGAGGTGGCTGGCAGGTGGCAGAGCTGGGGCGGGGTGGTCTTAGCTCTCGAACTGTGTCCAGGTCTGCGGTGGAGTGCTGAAACAGAACACGGGCCGGCCTGCCTCGCAGCCGGGCTGGGTCCGCCCACTGCTCTGCACAGCCATTCTGGAAAACTCTCTCTGGTCCACCCGTGCCTTCAGCCCCCTTCCTCACACCTCTTCCCTGGGCTTCTCCAGCCCCAGCCATCCCCTGCTGTGCTCCAAGGGTGGCAGCTGTCATGAGACGGGCACAGTGGCCACCACGCCCTGCTGGGACCCCCGTCACAGCCCCTCCATGCCAGCAGTGCTGAGACCCTGGCTGACAGAGGGACCCGTGAGGTGTGGAGGGCACAAGTGTACAGCCTGTTAAGTGGGAAACGAACAGCGCAGCTGCCCGGAGGCCTAGCACAGAGCTGCTGATTGGTCCATGGAGCGGTGGCCCCAAGCCCTCTGCCTGGCCAGGATCTGCCCTGCTCAAGCCTGGCTCAGGGGTCACCTCCCCATACCCCTCGAGGGGCCCCTGGTCCCATGTTGGAAGCCTCTGCTTTAGAAGGTGCTAAACCCCTCCCAGTCCTGACTCCAGAACTTGAGACCCGTTTACCTGGCCCTGGCATCTCTGGCCGCCCTGAAGGGGGCCCTGGCCTCACAGAGACCCCTGTTCACGTGTTTCCACGTGTTTTAGAGGACCAGCTATGTGCTGGTGTCTGACGAGTGGTTTTAAATTTGTGTCTAAGAGCCAAACGGGACAGGTGTGTGCCAAACCAAGGTACAGGGTGGTGAGGCCGGAGTCCTTGTCCCCGCTTGGGCAAGCCCCGGTCGGGACACGTGCTCCTTGTGGTGGGGATGAGTGAGAGGCCCTGACCGCACTGTTGTAGTGGCGCCGGAAGGAGACCCTCGGTACTCACCCTGTTCATTTTAATAATAAAACACGGCTTTCCTTCTTCAAAGCCGAAGTTGGGATCCGCCAGGCCTGAGCAGTTCTGCAGCATATCTGCCATGAACTTGCAGGAGAACTTGGTGTGGTTGGGAGCGGAGAAACTCTCCTGGAAGAAGTACTGCTCGGAGGTGCAGTTGATGCTGTCCTCCTGGGCTGCTGGAGAGTAGCCTGCGGATGGATGCACCTGCCAGCCCTGTCCTGCTCTGGCCCTGATGCCCGGCTGCCCCCCGGGAAGGCCTTGAGCCCTGAGTGCCAGTTTCTTATAAAAAAAGTCGCAGCTGTGGAGATGTTTCACACTTTACCTGCTAGGAAGGTGTGGAGAGTCTGTGTGAGGTCTGCCCAGGTTCTGTTATCAGAGACGTTGTAGACAATTTCCAGGCCTTTCTCCCCGTAAATATCCGGCCTTAAGGTTACCCCTGGAGAGAGAGACCTTTGTGTTTAGTGTCTCCAAATGCTCACCACTTTTAAGCCATCAGTTCTGAAGTGGCTGAGGATACGCCCGAGGCTGTGGCCCAACCCTGGAGCCTCCTCGGAGTAAACTTGTCTGCAGCACAGGAAGGAAGGACCCCCAGGACAGCACGGTTAGAATGTGGCCCGGGGCCCTCCTGGGAGTTGCCCCGGCTCTGCCTGGGGTGTGAGAGGCCCTGAAACCTGGCTGGCTGCTGTGGTGGGGTTGGCGGGGGGTGGTGGCTGGCTCTCTCCACTGGGTGCCTGCTCTGTTAGGTGATGACTAATCCAGAGGCTGCAGCTGGGTTTCTATGTAAAATTGTATTTGAACACACATTAGAAAAGTCTTCACTGGTTTTGGTTAAGAACAAAAGTGGTCTAACAACGTGTTAATTGTAAAACTGAATATCAGGATGCACACAGCGGGGAGTTAAACCCAGAACCGTCGACTTTCCCAACGTGAACTGTCAAATGTGCGTCCTTTACACACTCTCCTGTTTCTGTGGAAACACAGAAGATGCAGAAACGTGTGTTTGCTTCAGGTCCTTAGGACCAGCCCACCATCCACACGCCACTCGCTTCCCAGTGGCCACGCACGCTACACACTTCCACTTCCCATGCGATTGGGAGCCTCTTTTTCTGTCATTTTGCGTCAACTCACCTCATTCTTTCCATAAATGCGGTTTCATTGTGTGAAGCCTGCAGTTTGCTTAGCCGATCCCCTGTGGATGCTGCTGGCTTTATATTTGAGGCTAGGTGTTGCTGTTTTGTGGATGTTGTTAGAATAACATCTATACATGGTTTAAAACAAAAGCCTTCAGCAGGGTCTAAGGGAAAAGGAGGTTCTGCACTTGCTCTGCACACTGACGGGGACGTCTGTCCTGTGGCCTCTGACAACTCGGATGCCTATTCCTCTGTTTTTGCACCCTGCTGATGTGTAGGTGACCAGCGGGCTCTTTTCTGCTGGTCTCCCAGGTGTGCGCCTTGGAAACCGTTTCCTGTACATCCTTGCAGAAACATTCCATGTGCATATCCGAGCGTAGGAAGTAAGTGGATGGAAAAACTTGTCTCTATAACAAAACCCTTCTGTTTCATAATTAAAACTAAAGCCAAAGTCAGATTTTATAATTTGGGGTCATTTTCCTCATGGAAAGAAACTAAGGGGCCACTTAGGCCTTGGGGCTGCTCTTAAAGCTAGTTCGGGGGCTGGGGGCCGCCCTCGGGGGCACCTGCTGGGGTGTGTGGCTCACCCTGGGGCTGCCGGGCTGGCCTCTCTGGGCTTCATTTCTGGGAAAGGCACGGGTCCCCCTGGGCATCTCCAGAGCCCAGGAGGCAGCAGCCTAGCCCGTCACATGGCATGGGGGCAGCATCTCCGGCACTTACCTGGTGACCGTAGCTGGTCTTGGTAGTCGGGCGTGTACGGGTCAACCGTCTGCATTAGCACGTAGAGGCACAGGGCGAAGAGCCCAGTCATCACCACGTAGAAGGCCACGTAGTACAGGCTGATCCACACTGCGACACAAGGCAGGCACAAAATTTACCACGTCGGCCATTTTAACACGCACAATTCGATGGCCTTGAGCGCGTCCATGATGTAGCGTGACCATCTTCCCTACCTAGTTCCAGAACATTCTCTTCCCCTAAAACAGAAACCCCGTCCCCACCGTCGCTGCACTCCCCTCCCAGCCCTGCACCACCGGCCACGTTCTGCCTCTGCGTTTGCCTGTCTCGATGTCCATGTAGGCAGAATCCTGCGACCCGAGGCCCTTGCACCCAGCTGACTTCACTCCAGCTGCTGTTCGAGATGTGTCCAAGGCTGCGCCACCATCCCAGCTCCAGCAGGAGCCAAGGGCCCTCTGAGAGGGGAGTTCTGGTTCTCCCCATCACAGAAAGGGAAACTGAGGCAGAGAGGTGAGGTCCTGCCCATGGTGACCTGTAGTGTGGCCTGGAAGCGCATGGCCGGCCCTGCTTCCACAAGGACATCAGGAAGAGGAAGGGAGGCCCTGGAGATGGCTCTTTTCAGAAGCAGGGTATCCACGGGCACTGGCCACTCAGGGTGTGGCTTCATCTCATCTGCTTCTGAGACCCTCCTGTGAGCTTCCCCACAGAATCAGAGCCTAACGGAGGTCACCGTCCACGCGGCCATGGGCGGCTCCTGGACACAGGCGGCTCCTGGATGCTGTCTTGTCTCTGTAAATTCGCCTGTGTGGATCGCCGCAGGCATTTGCACGGAGACACCGCCAGGAAGAGGACGGCTGTGTGTTTGCCACGGCTTTTCTCTTTCTGGGAAGAGTCTGTAATGAACTGGGCCTCCTCCTCCTCTCCGGTGATGTGACATGGATTCTGCTTAGTGAGCTGTTCTCCAGTGACCCAAAACACAACCAAAGAGCGGGACCAAGTCAGAGAGAAGCAAGGGAGCGTGGGGCCAAGAGGCCGGAGCTCTGAGCTGTGATGAGAGGCTGTGGCCTGCGGACCGTGTGTCCTTTTCTGGGGGGGCCCCTCCTGTGAGCTGAGACAGCGCAGGTCTCTGAGCCAGGTCCCTTCAGCACCGGCTGGGCTCAGGGCTGGGTCTTGCTCACCTGGCATCCACTTTGAGTCCCTCCTTTCCCTGCCGGGCGTCCCTGGTAGCAGCATTCTCGTGTGGCGGGGGCCTGTGGCCACCAGCAGCTTGGCTTCAGTCTCCAGTTTCGGGTTTCCAGCTTCAGCAACGTGGGACCAGTGGTGGTGGAGAGGGTTCTGTTCTCTCACTGGATCATGCCTGTCACCTCCCTGGTGCTGGCCCTGCAGGTCTCTGCCTCAGTGTTCTCAGGTCACTCCTGCTGTGGCTTCTATTAGACTTGGCCGCCTGCCCCCCAGGGACCTACGCCGTGAAGGCAGAGGTCTCCGTTTCCCCGCTGCGGGTCCTGTGGGTCTACCCTGGGGCCTGTGGTGCACAGTGGAGACGTGGGCGGTGCGTGTCTCCCCAGTGGCTGCCTACCCGCTTCATGGCGATTCTCAGCTCCACCAGGTGGCTCAGCCCTGCCTCCCAGCTAGGAGCCCGAGGTTGGCCAGGCTGGGCCCAGGCTCAAGTGGGCTGTGCGTCCTGGACTTCCTGGGCCCCCGCTTGCACCACGGTGTTCAGGGCACACTGCAGTGCACAGGGGAGGGGTTGGGAGGTGAGAGTCCCATTCCCACCAGCTCCCGGGGCCGGCCAGATGCTGCTCACTCTGCTTCTCTCACACCTGCACCTGTCCTCCCATTAGTAAACATAACGTGTCCTATTCCTTTTGTTTTTGTCATTTCACTTGAATTGTGTTTTCCCGGGGCCCTAAGACTTTCTTATACTTAAACAGAGGCCACGTCTACCAACCGGGCAGTGAGACCATTCCGGAAGGTTCTCTGTGGTCCTGCAGCCAGGAGGCGGCATGTGGGAGTCTTAGCATCTAGAATGGCTCAGAAGATGGGGCTTCCAAGGGCCTGGCCGGCAGCCCCCGGCCCAGTCCCCACCCTCAGCTCCCTCCCCAACCTGGTCTCCTGCTCTGCTGCCGCGCCTGGCCCAGGAGGCCCTTCCGCCTCCACCCCCGCCCCCGGTCCCTTCGTCTTCAAGAACGGGGTATTTGTTCTACTTCAAATGCACTGTGGCTCCAGTGGGCTCTGGTGCCCCTTGATACTGCGGAGCCTCCAGCGAGGGCCGCGGCCTTCACCAGCACTGCGGTGAGTGTGAGGGGCTTGGCAGTGTGTCGCGGGTGTTCCTGCTACCTCTCAGCTACACGTACAGGTGGGACAGGCCTGGGGCTCTGCATTCCCACCTCGGCGCTGGGACCCCCAGAGCCAGGTACCATGGGGACTGAGGAGGGCCCAACCTTCCCTGGGAGCCAGGGCCAGCACCTGGCCAGACAGTGCAGCTGCATCTGAGGCTCAGGGGTCACTGGGGGAGGTGGGAGCGGGCAGGTGCTTCCTCCAGACTCTCCCGTGAGGGGTGAGGGCATTTCCCGGAACGGGTGTGGTAGTCCTGATGTAGAGGCAGATGCTTCCACCGCCTGTGTGGCCTTGGAGGCCCAGGCATCTGCTTTCCTCCCAGGAGGGCCAGGCCGCCCGCACCTCTGCGCAGCCACAGGGACAGGACCCTGCAGGGCGGACCTCACACAAGGCACAGGTGCTACAGGCTGAGGCAGGCCTGGTTTACTCCCCACCTCCGCATCTGGACGCCAGCAGGTGTCCCAGAAAGAGGGGCTGGCAGCTGCATCTCGGCAGAGCCCCGTATTCAGGTTATTGAGTGAATCTGTGTGACCAAGGAATCGCCATGGCCACCTTTCACATTCTTTTAAAAATGATTCACTGGAAACATACTTTTAAAATGCTGTTGTCAGGCATATGGCTGGAATTTGGGGCCAGTCTGTGGATGCCCTCCACTGGCGTTCTGCAGTCGGGGCTCCAGGTCAACTCAGCCTTCAGGATGCTCTGGGGACCCTCACTTTCCCTGGGAGGCCAGTGAGGCCCTGGCCAAAGCCCATCCATGCCATCCGGGCAGCATCTGGGTCTCACTGTCAGGGGCCCTCTGCTCCCCTCCTCCTGAGCTCACCTGGAGGCCACGTTCTCAGAGCAGCCCCCTCCATGCACCCAACCGGCCCACCCCCTTCACGTACCCCACCGGGACAGGGTGCGGCCCAGCATCTGCCCCGTGTCCGGATTCCAGCAGTAGTGCTGGAACTCCTCCATGCGCTGTCCGCACGTCTTCTTCTCCTGCAGCGCCGCCATCGTCCCTGGCCTGGGAGCCTCCCGCCTGCTCCTTGCACCCCCTACGCCCTGACTGAGACCAGACACCCGCCTCGGCTTTATAGTTTCCTCTGCCAGAGGTCAAAGGCATGGCAGGCGAAGGATTCCAGGGAGAGTCCAGGGCCGAGTTATCAGCGCTGGCCATCGCCTCACCAAACACCAGGGGCCCAGTGCAGCCCGGCTATTGCCCCTGGGGTGGGCCAGGCCTGCGTTCCTCACCCCGCTGCTCTTGGGACGCCCTTGGCTTCAGCTTTGTCTGCTCTGATTGCAGTGAGGGCACGTTCCCGGGTGAGCAGCACTCACAGGCCCTGCCCCTTCCCTCCTCTCCTTCAGGAGAGAGATCGAGGTCAAAGCAGAGCCGGCCTGAACCCACTGTGTCCACGACCTTGGGCTGAGCCTGCTGGGGCTGCATCCCTGGCCTGGGAGGGTGTGAGGCAGGCGAGTGAGGGGTGATCGGCTCCCTTGGTCCCCAGCTGCGGCCGGCCCGATTCTGGGTCGCCCAGTGGAAGGGTGAGCCTGGCAGCTGGAGCTGGGTCAGCAGGGAACACAGGGGTCCCCGGGGGCTCCTCTGTCTCCCAGATTCACTCAGAGCAGCAATATCCTCTTAGATCCCCAGAGGGCAGTGGCATGGAGGGCCCTTTAGGATTTTTTGTCCCTATGGAGGAATTCATAAATATAAGCCCTTAAATCTAGAGGACCCTGAAATGAAGTGCACAGGAGCCCTGAGCATCTGCTGAACACAGATTCAGCCCAGCGAGTCCTGGGGGCCCCACACTGCATTTCTAACAGTGCTGGTGGGAGGGAGTAAGGCAGGGTCCAGGTGGGGAGTGCTCAGCCTAGGCAGCACCGCGGGGTCACCGGGGGGTCTGGGCAGTGCATTGGGGTCACAGGGCCGGGGCAGGGACCGTGAAGTCATTACTGCCCACTTCCGCCTGGGGATTCTGCCTGAGCCCCTCGCCCATGGGGCCGAGCACCAGGACATGGAGGGCTCCCAGGCAGTCTTGTTGTGCGGGGCACTACAGAATCCCGGCTTGGAGGCTTCGCTGTTGGAGACGGGGGTCCTGGATGTCGGATGCCATTGCTGCCTGCTGGCTGCAGCGCCCATCTCTGCAGGGGGTGACGGGAATGCAGGGCAAATGGAACGTGCTCAGAGGCCTTCTGACAAATATGAATTGAAGTCAACTGAAATGATGAGCCCTGTGCGTCCAGAATTACATGCAGAGTTTCCCACACTGTCACCTCTAGGCCGTCCCTCTCAGGGACCCGTGTAACCAAATTCATTTCTTAGAAGAAAGAAAAACCCTGAAGGCATTATGCTGCTTTAATTTTTTAGGATAATTTAGAGTTTGCAAAATAATTGCCCTAAAATTCAAATGGAATGACATCATTTTAACCTGGATTCGTATAATTTCTTTTCTTTTTTTTAATTTCTAATTTTTATTTCTTTTATTTTTTTGTAAAGATGGGGTCTCCCTATGTTGCCCAGACTGGTTAGAACTCCTGAGTTCAAGGGATCCTCCCAAAGTGTTAGGATTACAGGTGTGAGTCACTGCACCCAGCCATAATTTCTTAATGGACCCATCCTACACATTTTCTTTAACATTGTACTCATTTCTGACTTTGGAATGTTAGGGCAATAAAAACACAGAGTCTGGCAGTAGGCCACAGTCTAATCATTCACAGCCTGTGGCCCTGGGACCCCAGAGTGCCAGGGGTCTGACAACACCGGTATGCAGCAGCTGTTGTCTGTGAAGTATATAGATGCTCTTGAAATGAACAAAGTATGAATTCTTTCTAAGCATCTTTGAATTTAGTCTTCCTAATGTAGTCTCTGAATTTCCAGAAGCAGGTACATGTGCTGAACTGTACACGTTATCAGAATGACCTTCTTCTGGACACATGCGTGTAGGGAGGAGGGCCAGAGACCTTGGTAGAGGGCAGTTTCCCCAGAGCTTGCTCTGAAAACATAGAACTAGGTGCTCCATACAAATTGGGTGCCAGACAATGAGGGGGGCCCAGAATCCCACCCACATCTGGTAGCCACTGGTCACCCCTCTCTCCCCCCACCTGAGTGGTGTCAGACACAGCCTAGTGGAAAGTTAGGACTGTGGCCACCACACGGTGACAAGGCCACCACCCACTGTGGTGTCGGTGGAGACCATATGGAGAGCCAGGACTCCTACCCACCCACCCAGCAGTCCTCAGGAGCCCACGCAAAGGTTTCCAGTGGGAAACCTACACTTCTAGCCCCACATGGTGTTAAGGTGAAGCCTCTCCCTTCTGCTGCTGAAGTGGGGTCAGAGAAAGCCAATAAAAGAGGAGGATTAAATAATATGAAAACATCTGGGTTTCAGTAGATAACCACTCATCACACAAAGAATGAGGAAGATTTTAAGATGCATTAATACAAAGCTGGGTGTTTTGGCTCATGCCTGTTATCCCAGAGCATTGGGAGGCTGGGGTGAGAGGATCATTTCAGACCAGGAGCTCCAGACCAGCCCGGGCATCTCTGCTAACAAAATTTAAAAATTCTAAAAATGAATTAAAAAAGACAATATATGCCAACATCAAGGTGACAGAGATGTTAGAATTAGCTGCCAAAAATTTTAAAACAGCCATGATAAAAATGCTTGAGTAGCAATTACAAACAAGCCTGAAACAAATGAAAAATTAGAAAGCTGCAAAATATGGAAAGCAAACTGATAGAACTAAAAGTAGAAATAAACAAATCCACAGTTATAGTTGGAGATCTCAATACTCCTCTCTTAACAATTGATAGAATAACCAAATAGAAAATTAGCATGGATATAGAAGAACTCAACATCATCAAACCAACAGGATGTCATTGACATTCGTAGAATACTCAACAGAGAATACATGTACTTTTTAAGTCCCTATGAAATATGTATCAAGATAGGCCATACCTTGGGCCATAAAGGAAGTCTTAGCAAATTTAAAGAATTTAAATCATACAGAGTGTTCTCCAATCAAAATGGAATCAAATTAGATATTAATAACAAAGATAACAGAAAAACCTCCAAATATGAAAACTGAACAACATCCTTCTAGTACTCATGAGTCAAAAAGGAAGTTTCAAGGGAAATTTTAAAAATACATGGAACTGAATGAAGAAAAAATACAACATATAAAAACTCAAGGGACATAGCTAAAGCAGTATTAAGAGGAAAATTTATAGCACTAAAAATGCATATTTTAGAAAAGAAGACAAGTCTCAAAAAAACCTAAGCTCTCATCTCACAAACCTAGAAAAAGAAAAGCAAGTAAAACAAAGCAAAAGCGAGCAAGCAAACCACAACAACAACAACAAAAAAACAAGCAGAAGGAAGAAATTAAAAGATAAGAACAGAAACTGATGAACTTGAAAATGCAAAAGCAATCGAGAGTACTGGTTCTTTGAAAATATAAATAAAATTAATAAATCTGTAGCTAGAGAGAAGGCTGAGATAACTGATAGCAGGAATAAAATAGGAGCTATCACTACAGACCCTGCAAATATCAAAAAGATAAGGAAGGAAATACTACACGCAATTCTACATACATAAACTTTACAACTTAGATAATGGTCTGCTTCATCAAAAATCACAACTCACCCAATTTCTAATAGATAATGTAAATAGCCTGTAACTATTAAGAAAATTGAATTAATTATTTAAAATCTCCCAATAAAGAAACCTTTAGGCCCAGATGATTTCATGGGATAATGCTACCAAACATTTAATAAAGAATTAACACCAATTCCTCACCATATTTTGGAAAATAGAAGAAGAGGAAATATTTTCCAACTCATCTTATAAGACCAGTGTTACCTTTATACCAAAATCAGACAAGGATAGTTCAAAAAAAAGAACACTACAGATCAGTATCCCTCATGAATATAGATGCAAAAACCATAAACAAAATATTGGTAAATTAAATCCAACGAAGTATGAAAAGCAAACGCCATGACCAAGTGGGATGTATTCCAGGAATACAAGGCTAGTTCAGGATTCAAAACCCAATCAGTGTGATCCACCACATTACCAAGCTGAAGAAAAACCACACAATCATATCAATCAGTGTAGACAAAGCATTTGATGAAATTCAGCTTCCATGTGACAAAAGCTCTCAGCAAACCAAGAGTAGAAGGAAGCCTGTTCAACTTGATTAAAAGCACTGACAAAAAACCCACAGCTAACAGTATGCCCAATGGTGAAAGATGAAACGTTTTTTTACCCCAAGACCGAGAACAAGGCTCCCTCATTTTTATCCAACATTGTACTGGAAGTTCTAGCTAGAGCAATGAACAAGAAGAGGACATAAAAAGCATGAATGTCAGAAAGGAAGAAATAAAACTGTCCTTATTTGCAGATAACATGAATGCTTATGTAGAAAATCGCAAAGAATCCATAACAAAACTCCTACAGCTCATAAGTGAGTTTAGCAAGGTCTCAGGATATGAGATGAGGGCGAAGAAATCCACTGTATGTCTATATAGTAGCAATAGGCATATGGATACCAAAATTAAAAACACAATACCATTTATGATTGCTCAACACCAAGAGGAATATTTAGGTGCTAATCTAACACGACATGTACAGGACTTGCATGCTGAAACCCATGTAATAGTGATGAAAGAAATAGAGTTTGAATAAATGGAGACACACACCATGTTTATAGTGTGGAAGACTCAACATAACAAAGAGATCAGTCTCCCCAGATTGATATATGGGTGCAACATAATTCCTATCAAAATCCAGGCACAATGTTTTTGGTAGATACATACAAGATTATTCTAAAATTTATATACAAAAGCAAAGGAACTAGAATAAGTAAATATTTTCTTGCATATTTTGAACATAGCATTTTTTTAAACATTTTTTGAAAAATTTTTTGAAAAACAAGAATAAGATGGGAAGACTCAGTCTACTGAATTTCAAAGCTTATTATGTAGCTATGGTACTCAGGATTGTAGGGTATGGTCAGAGGGAGACACATAGATCAATGGAACAGAAGAGAAAATCCAGAGGTAGACCCACACAATATGTGCAACTGATTTCTGACAAAGGTGCAAAAGGAATTCAATGAAGCAAAAATAGCCTTTTCAACAAACAGTGCTGGAGCTACTGGATATCCATTGGCCAAAGTGGGAGGAAAAAGACCCTCAACCTCTTAAACCTTCTACAAAA